ATCGATTTTTTTGATATGGTCACAGCCACGTTCTAGAGCGCTGATCTACCGCCATGTTCCATAGTGTTTATGATTGCATCTCTTATATGTAGTTATAACATCCGATCAATCATATCCCATAATAACCACCTATCATTGAGCTATACTGATACATGTGGTATGGTAGAATATAATCTAATGTAATAGTGGTAACTGCGTACCGATCGCCTGGACACGATATAGCGAAGAAAGCATATGAGTGATGTCATTGAAGACTGCAACGAAAAAATGAGACATGCGGGTCCATGAGAGCACGAGAGCAGAAGAGTACTGTAGAGTTCGTGAGAGTAGTACATGGGCAGAAGACCGGGTGATGCAAATGCGAATGGACGGTAAAATGATGTGGTAGAGTGAATCCTAATACGATCGAGTGAAGGTTATAAGTATTGAACAGACTACGAGACAGTTGTGACTCACCTTGAATACTATTTCTTGCTTGCCTTGCGTTTCGGAGTCTTCTTCGGTGGAACAGCAGCATTCTTTCGTTTGCGCTTAGTAGGTCGAGTGATCTCTTCATCTTCTTCAGTAAGAGGGCTGTTATCATCGAAAAGGGCTGATGCGGAGACTTGCTTGCGCTTGTGTGAGTTATCAGGAGGATTGGGAGTAGGGGGGCGTGCAGGTAAGACTTCTTGCGCCTTGCGCGAGTCGACAGGAGGATCGGGGGTAGGGAAGCGCGCCACTCTTGAGGATGGGGGTAGGGAAGCACGCTGACTCTTGAGGAGACGAGGTGGCTAACGGAGGATATGGAGGCAAACTATCAGGGGGAGGGACGGACTTGCCATGCGACTCTTGTTGATTATCGAGTGCCGAAGATGGTGCAGATGATTTGTCTGAGGATCTGGAAGCAGCACGTGCGGCGAGTTGCCGTTCCATTGCAATCATATCGTCGTCTCGGAACACTCTATGTTCGGAGAATGACAAGGCTTGGCGCCATTTTCATTGCCGAACAGTTTCCTATATCAATGAACAATTAGAACAAATACACAACACGAAAAATCACTTACTCGTTATAATGTCCTAGCAGGGAGTTGACCCACCCCTCGTCCTTCCTCCCCCGAATAAGATTTACAATCCTAGTATAGAAGTTAGTGTAATAGAAAAGACCATCGTGGTCTTTCCATTTTTCAAGCGAGCTAATAGCAAAGCGAGCCTGTAAAATATAGACTGAGTAAATTAAGTCTGCGAAAAAAAAACTTACCTGAACCGCGGCATACTGATATGCTCGCCCCCAACTTCTTTCATCCCATGGAGCTTTGCATTGCAAGCGCGAGTTCCACTAGAGACGCCAGCCTTGAGCGCAGACGACGGAGAGGTGAAGATATGTTTGATAACCTGTATGTATTAGAGTAGCCCAATATAGTAATGAAAAACCTACCCGCTCCAAAAGATATCCGCGAAAAAGCCTTCAATAATGTCTTCCGGGTCAAATCTTCGCCCGCAGTGTTGCCTGGATAGAGAAAGGCGGCCATAAGGCAGCGGTCACCTTTAAGGACGCGCTATCGAACTTGTTCTTCATCCTGTAGAAATAACTTGTTAGTACAGATAACCTTAAGAAAAAAACATACCCATGCGGATCCTTGATGTAGTCGACCAGATACTAACCGGACAAAGTAATTTGCCCAGCTGGCGTGATTAAAACCCATTAGAGCGCGGCTCTTGCTGTCGTCAGTGATGGGCGGACAGATAAGCTCTTTGTCCCGGGTTTGGAGCGGCGTATGAGCCCATGCGAGACTTGAGACGACTTGCGTCCTCAGAGCGCGTATGGTTAATCATATTTTGCATCTGTAAATATATAGTTAGTTGCAATTGATGTAAAAAAAACATACGCACCTCGCCAATGAGTTGTGCGAGCTCCTCGCGTTTTTTTCTCCTTCCAATCAGAGTCCCAAGATAAGGGGCGTGTTCATGACGTATTCGAACGTCCGCTTGTACCGTGCACGAGTGATATCGTCACTGAAAATTATGTTAGCATAGATATAAGTAGTTAGTGTGTGCATATATGCGGTCAGAGTGCGCATATATGCAGTCAATTGTACATACCAGGCGTCCAGGATCTTACTGCGGGCAGCCTTGATGTGTTCTTCTTCCGCTTCATCTCCGTCCTCGGCCTCGGCTTCTTCTTCTTGCTCCAAAAGTAGACTTACCTGGATCGTCTGCTTGAGATCGCAGAACATATCAAGTCCGCGTGGGATCCAACGTGCAACGTGGATGCACTGCTCCCGCGGCGTAAGGACTTTAGTGTGTGATCTCCTATAATCTCATCAAGATCAATATGAGATCGCGTAAAATTCAATGAAAAACCTCACCGTTGTGTTTTTCGGCCTTCTTTTCGGCTCTAACTGGGCTATGCATCCTATAGATAAGCTCTGTTTGGGACAACTGATATCTCTGAATGACTCACCTGGCCTTTTTAGACTTGCGTCCATTCTTATCAGACGCATCTAACACGTCTCTTCCACGTTTCCTGGATATCCGGGGTGGCGGTGTGCTCAGGTGGGTACTCACTTCCGATCTAGCAGAAGATCCCGCAGACGACTCAGAAGAGGAAGACGATGAGGTAGAATTGGCGCGATTGTGACGCGCCATAGTGGTGGGAGAGATAAGATAAGGACACGTTGTTAATGTTTGTTTGTTAGATTTATTAATAACATATCAACACCCCCTGAATAAAATACATGCGTAGATGACATTGTATCAGTACATTGAGACTAACTAACTTTTGATCACGGTGGGATGGGAACACGAGCATGCGGATGAATTTACAATTGAGCAAGATTTACAAATGATATAGTACATCAGACGATATAGTACAGGACAAGAAATGAAAAAAAAATTATGAGGTTGCTGCCAGATCTTCTACTAAGTTCCCCTCATGGTCCTCCGGCGCTTCAGCTCTTTTCTTCACGTAGTAGTTCCATGGCGCAGTAGGATTCTCGGGGTCTGGATGAGGGTTCCCCAAGCGCCTAGTAAGAAGGCTGCAAGGGGATGCGGTTACAGGCCTTGAGAAAAATCAGTCAACAATTGTATTAAAAGTGCTGGAAACTTACTGGAAGTCTGGACCACCGATCACTGCGCCTAGATCCTCATCTTCAACCTTAACCTCAGCGATTCCGACCTCCGCATCTTCTGTCTTCATCTCCGCATCGTCCCCGTTACCACCGTTCTCTCTTCGTCGGATTCATACTCAGTGAGCGAGTCATCTGAACCCGAGTCGTGATTATTGGTTTGTTCAAGTTGCTGGATGCGAAAAACAATTTTCTGTTATAAATTAGATTAGTTTTTATAGATAGAGAAAAAAAAACCTTGGGGCCGGGAGAATCTAAGTGGACGTTGAAGCAGTAAGTGTTATTTAAGGAGATGGCATTTTGGATGTCGACGAATATGACATCCCCGAAGACGTTAATGACAGAGGTCCAGGCGTCGGGGGCAGTAAGTACGTTAGCCATGGTATGAATGGTATTGATATGAATGTTTGATAAACATAGCCACAGACGAGGCGAGGACTTCATATCACGGAATATCCCAGCGGATGTTGAATTTGATATTCCCAGACATCTCGATCATTGATATCACATTATTTTCGATCGTATGACCTTACTTTCGATCGTATGTTTTACTTTCGAATATATGCTTCAACGAGCTACCACATCCCACTCAAATGTCTATGTAAGTCAGCAATCCTTCACACATATCCTACTCAAATGTCTACTACAGGTCCTACCACATATCCCATTCAAATGTCTAATAGGTGAGTCGCAAATCTTCCACACTTACCACTCAAGTTTCTACTTTTACTAGGACTCCTTATCCTGAGATCCGCGAGATCTCACCTCCTCGGGGGTAAATATCCCGGCAAGGATTCACAGGATTCTCCGACGTGGAGTTCTGGCGACTCGCATTAGCACGATCGAGCGCAGAGAATGTTGAAGGTACGTTCCCATCGAGTATTTTACATCGTGTAGTAGGACTAATGCTTCATTTCAGTCGTTTAATTAATGTAATTTCGCAGTAGAAGACCGTTTAAATATGATACAGCATTTCTGCAACTAGTGAGACCTCGTGAGGACGTGTCCCCCCCTTCTCCGCATTCATTTATTCCATGGTCAATGACCTCTGCTGCTTAGCTTGCAGCGCAACATTCAGCTCACGCAAGCAGCTGGCAGCACATTCAGGTCAATGCACGCTCAATTTTTCCCTTACTGATCAAATTTTCAGTCGCAAACGCAAGGCAGATAAGAAGAAGAAAAAAGACAAGAGGGCTCGGCGCGACATATCCCCCGATCGTGTTCCTGACGATGTTTTCGTTCCAGATCAGCCCGAGATTCAGGACTCTATGCCTATCGATCAGGAAGGCGATTTTAATAATGATGTATGTATTAATTTGATATCTACAACAGGATTGTACTAACTACACATTTACTAGATTGAAATAAGTCGTGTGCCATCGCCCTCACCTCCACCTGTTGTCTCCCAGCGCTCTGGATGGAGAATACGCATGCCCGCCCGCTTTGCAGACTTCTTGCCAGGTTCAGCTACTCACCTGGCGCATATGCCGCCCTCTACCCGTCAGCAACGCGAACATCACAATGATGTCAACGCGGATCAACTCATGGACCCCCAGCCTCGTGCACCTTCCCCGGTACAGTCAGAACACGATGCCCCCCCGCTTTTCATACCATTTGAGATGGAACCTGATGCAGCAGGTCTCTACCGAGTTTATCCTACCCGCCCCAGCATACTCCCTATTGAAAATTCCCTCGAGAGTGTGACCGATGCACCCACACTCACTGGAGGTGATGGGGTTCCGGACTCGAGTCGAATCACCGAAGGATTGTCGTCCAAGGTGATCGAACAGGACGACCTCTACGCAGCCTTCTCCAACCCGACTTCTGGCCTCCTTATGGCTTACCATTACTCTGGAACCGGCCAGCAGTCAGTTGCAGAGTTGCAGTGGCTTGCCGGCTTCGTTGGTGATCCGTTATTCAATAATATTGATGCCGCTTCATTTTCCCATACCCGGGAATCCAAAAATATTGACGCCTACCTGGAGAAGAAGTCTAATCTGTTCCGCCAGGAATATGGCTGGTGCCAATCTGCCGTCAAGATCAGGCTACCTAAAGAGGGTGAGAAGTGGGACGCCGAGACCGAGGCCCCAGAACTCGAAATTCCTGGCGTGTATCATCAATCAATCACTGATATTATTGAGTCCGTTTTCCAGGATGACGTCGCTACAACTTTCAACATGACGCCTTATCGCGAATTCTGGAAATCTCCGGACGGCCGGGATATTGAGGTGTTCTCAGAAGCATACTCTAGCCCAGAAATGGTCGAAACATACGCGGAAATTAACGATCTGCCCCGCGAAGAAGGTGATGATCTTGAGCGCACCATCGCATCACTGATGTTCTGGTCTGATGCCACCCATCTGGTGAATTTCGGCGACGCATCACTCTGGTCATTCTACCTCTATTTCGGCAATCAATCTAAGTACATCCGAGGCAAACCGACTGCCTCTGTGTGTCATCACGTCGCCTATATTCCAACAGTAAGTTTTTTTATTTATATCTATATATCTATATAACTCTAAACCGATCTTCAGTTGCCCGAAGATCTACAAGATCAATACATGGGTATTTTTGGCGAGCCTTGCACAAGCCAAGTCTACATGCACTGTAAGCGTGAGCTGATGCAGGCCATATGGGCTTTACTTCTCGACGAGAAGTTTATGCACACTTACCAGTATGGTATAGTAATTAAATGTAGCGATGGCGTCACTCGTAGAGTGTTCCCTCATTTTTTTTACATATTCAGCCGACTATCCCGAGAAGTATGTACATTAATTAATTATCGGATGCAGTATTAATGCTTCTCAGAGTTATTCTCACAGGGATAAAAAATCTGGGGCAGTGCCTTTGCCCGCGCTGTCTCACGAAGAAGAACGAGGTTTCTTTGATGGGATCGAGGTTGGATATGAAACGACGGATCAGGCGCATGCGGAAGGACGACAGGACACAGCTCCGAGAAGTCGAGGATGCGCGGGCACTCATTTTTCAACTGGGTGTGCCTGTTGATGGCACTCGCGTCAAGGCTATTCTCAATGAGAAGTCTTTGGTGCCCACTCGAGTAAGTTTTTAATATTTGATTGACTTTCTACCTAACTAATGATATTTGATATATAGAATGCATTCTCTGTCAAGCTGTCACCTCACGGATTCAATCGATTTCGAATGTTCGTCGTCAACGAACTTCACAAATTCGAACTCGGTGCATGGAAGGCAAAGTTCACCCACTTGATGCGCATTTTGCATGCAGCTGGTGGTGATGCCGTCCAGGAACTCAATAGAAGGTGTGTATTTAAATTTTTTGATTACATCTACTGATCGATCTTAATAGATACCGCGCTACACCGACCTTTGGCAGAGGCACGATAAGAAAATTTAATTCAAACGCGTCATCAATGAAACGTTTAGCTGCGAGAGATTTTGAAGATCTTCTGCAGGTAAGTGTCGGTTTCAACTTGCCCGATATAGTTATTGATGATCGTGTGTATGTATAGTGCGCAATCCCGGCCTTCGAGGGCTTACTGGTACTGCCTGGTGACGACACAGACAATACTATGGTCCTGGACCTTTTATTTGACCTCGCAACTTGGCACACGTTCGCAAAATTGCGAATGCATACTGAGGACACACTGAAATTTTTTGACACTGCGACGGCTGTTCTGGGCCAGACAGTACGAAAATTTGCGCGAACTACATGTAAGCGCTACCATACAACTGAACTACCTCACGAGTATGCAACACGCGGACGACGGGAAGCTGCCTTAGCTTCCAAGCTTCCAGAAGCAGACCCAAAATGCAAGGCCAAGGAAGTTCCATCGGGTCCAAAGCGCAAGAAGCTTAATCTCAGTACTTACAAATATCACGCGCTGGGAGATTACCCCGACACGATCCGACAATTTGGTACTACTGATAGCTTCAGCACGCAGCCAGTAAATTTCTATTTTAATTCACGTGTAAATACATACTGATCGTACTATTTTAAATCAACTAGGGTGAACTTCAGCATCAGCGAGTGAAGCGGTGGTATTCGAAAACCCCCAAAGGGAAGAAGAATACTGTCTCTAGTATGACAAGGATAGAAACCTGGGATCGACTCATGGGTAAGATCATCAAGGCGCGAGCTGCATTAGCATCAAGAGAAGGTGATGCCGGATCACAGCGCTGCCAACGGCAACGCACGTCTCCATCCGATCACTACCACATTTCCAAATACGCGACAACTTCGTTTGATCTCACAGGATGGCTTAGTGAACTACCAGAAGATGATCTAGCAGTAGTGGTACGTCTTTTTTTTTACCTTTTAGAGTTATTTCATCTAATGGGAGGGACAGGACTTTATTCCAAAACTCAAAGATCATCTTCTCGGACGTATTCGCGGGATCGAGTACACTGGAGATGAGCATGAATTTACTGATGAAGAACGTGCCCAGATCATCATCGCCAACAACAAGGTCTACGAGCACAGCGTCCTCCGGATTAACTACACTACATACGACTTACGGCGGGAACAAGATTCACTTAACCCACGTACCCGTGCCGACGTTATGGTCCTGTCACACGAAACCGATGACGCACGGCACCCGTATTGGTATGCACGAATCATCCGGATCTTCCATGTGGACGTTTGGGACCGAAATGACACTTCTATGGAAGAACCATGCCGAATGGAATTTTTGATTGTGCGGTGGTTTGGACGCGACGCGGGTTACCAATCCGGTTGGTCCGCAAAACGATTGCATCGCATCGGTTTTCTCAGAGGCGAGGATCCCAGTGCCCTCGGTTTTCTGGATCCTGACGTCATAATTCGAGGTGTCCATCTCATCCCAGCATTTGATTCAGGCAAGACCGATGAGTTTCTTCCTAATTCATTTGCTCGACATGAGGCAGATCTTAATCAAGATTGGCGGTATTTCTATGTAAACATGTGAGTTTTTTGTACCTATCTACTTCTAATCAATTCACTGGTCTATTTCTAGGTTCGTAGATCGAGATATGTTCATGCGATACCGAGGGGGAGGTATCGGTCACGCTATATCCTGCGAATGGGATGAGTTCCTGCAAAGTGATGGGGCGTATGTGAATGAAGAGGCTGAAGAACAGGAGAATGAAGGTGGGGAGGGAGATGCTGAGGGAGAGGGAGAGATTGAGGAGGACGGAGATGATGAAGAGGAAGAGGAACTGGAAGATGATCCCGATATGATAGAAGCGGACGAGGGAGAAGACTTAGACGATCATTTTCTGATAGCGGAAGGCTACGGCGCTTTATAATTTCATATCATGTTTATTCTGATCCGCTATCGATCCATCATATAAATCTTACTTAGTAGAGCTCATTATTGGGAGGCACATATATACATTTAAAATTGTAGCGAGGCGCATATATAAGTACTACAACATTATAACTACAATATAATGTCGCTACCACCGTGTCTCAGCTGCGCTAAGGATCATGTGAGGGTGGTGAGGTGTTTATAATGTATAATGTTGATATGACGCACGCATACATGCGTCATAATACTCGAACATTTTGATAATCCCTAATCAGGGTATGTCACGTGTTGTGACATTTGGGGAGTTTTGCTGATGCCGTCTATCTGTCAAAGCTCCGCCCCTTCGCGCTTTCAATCAGCCGAGTACATAGATGCTCAGCCGTCTCAATCATATCCGCACCGCCTTATTTTCTTTCGCGAAGCCTGCAATGTCACACGCAGTTGATACGTCTCATTATCGTGCCGCCTTGTCTTCAGGCAAGTATCGTTCGTTTCATGTGTAGATCCAACCGCAAGTCTTCATAATACAGGTGCTCATCCTCAAAGCGAGACTGCCACATTTGCTGCGGGGTGTTTTTGGGGTGTCGAACACATATTCCTGAAAGAATATCCTCCGTCGCAGAATAAGGGCATCCTCAAGACCAGCGTCGGATACACTGGAGGACTGGAGAGCGCTCAGACCCCAACATACAGAGAAGTGTGCACTGGGACAACCAATCATGCCGAAGCCTTGAGGATTGAATTTGACCCTTCCACAATCAACTATGGCGAGCTCGTCGGTGAGTACTTGAGTCGCGTTCGCTCGTCCTAGTTCCACATTGTTTAACTTGTCTAATCTGCTGTCAGAGTTCTTCTACCGCACCCATGACCCGACTACAGTGAACAGGCAGGGCGGTGATGCGGGCACTCGTACGATCATTCCATTGTTGTCTTTCTGAATGTCCTGATTGTCAAGCAGAGTACCGTTCTGCAATCTTCACACACTCCCCTGAACAAAGGACAATAGCAGAGGAAGTTACACGTAAGGTGCAAGAGGAACATTTCAAGGGCCAAACAATCGTGACAGAAATCGAAGAAGCTGGGCCGTGGTATGATGCCGAAGAATACCATCAGCTGTACCTGTTCAAGGAACCGAGTGGTTACCAATGCCCAACACACAGAAAGCACTGGTAGATGGATGGGATTATCGACACCTTGTAAATGAGTACGAAATAATGATGAATGTAAATATGAATTATCGGTGAAGATCCAATCAAAAACCGCCATCAGAGTTGTAAAAGCCCCTTTACAAATGTAACGGACTCAACTCTGCGCATCACAAGTATTCTGATTCAACCTTCAACTCTCTGACAGTTTCTTGTAATTGTGTTTTTGATCGTAGAACTTAGGAGTACTGGTGGAGCTCAAGTGCAGCACCACTTACCAGTGGTGATGGTTGTGCCAGCAATTTTACGAACCGGAGAAAAGCGCGACTGGGCTCGTTTGATGTTCCCAGAATGTCTCGCCGAGAACCGGTGGTACTCCCGTGATGATGATGATCAAAACGCAACTGTCACAGGGCCATGCCAGCTCACAATGTGACGGTTAACTGTGTCTAGAATAGTGAGTTGGCATGACCCTGTGACGCGCAACTTCAAGGCGCACCAGTGCAATCAAATAAAGGCCAGATGCTTCTCCCTCAGTCGTCTCCAGGCGACCACATCCGCACTGCCTCGATTTCTCTAGCAACGCTGCAATGTCTCAGGCAGTTGACCCGTCTCATTATCGCGCCGACGTGTCTGAAGGCAAGTATCGTTTGTTCGGTTTGTCACAAGATCCAACCCAAGTCTTCATAATATAAGGTGCTTGTACTGAAACCGAGTTTGCCACATTCGCTGCGGGGTGTTTTTGGGGCGTCCAGCACATATTTTTGGAAGAATATCCACCGTCGCAGAACAAGGGTATCCTCAAGACGAGCGTCGGATACACCGGTGGACTGGAAAGTGCTCAGAACCCAACATACAAAGAAGTGTGCACTGGGACAACCAATCATGCCGAGGCCTTGAGAATCGAATTCGACCCTTCCATAATCCAGTATGCAGAACTCGTCGGTGAATTGCATTGATAATTCCTATCCTCTGGTCTAATTTGTTGTCAGAGTTTTTCTACTGCACGCACAACCCGACCTCGCTGAACAAGCAAGGCATTAATACGGGCACTCGTAAGATTGCTCAGTACCATGTTCGAATTCTGTCCTGATCGTCAACCAGAGTACCGTTCCACAATCTTCGCACATTCACCTGAACAGAGGAAGGTAGCGGAGGACGTCACGCGAAAGGTCCAAGAGGAGCATTTCAAGGACCAAACCATCGTGACACTAATTGAAGAAGCTGGGCCGTGGTATGATGCTGAAGAATATCATCAGCTGTATCTGTTCAAGGAACCGAGCGGGTACCATTGCTCGACACATATAAAGCACTGGGAGATGAATGGGACCGCAAACACCGCATAAATGAACATTGAGATATTGATGAATGTAGTACATACAGTAAGAACAAACTGAAGTTCAACTGAAGTTACTGAACCCCACAATCAAGCTTAGCCGCCATCAGAGTTGTAAAAGCCCGTCCCTTTACAAATGTAACAAGGAGAGTGGTGCCGAACGGGCGATGTCAATGCGAACCCTGCATGGGGTCCGACTCAACTCTTTGCACCGTCATTTCTCATCATTGGCGTTTTTGATTGTGGAAGGATGAGGTCAAAACTTTTTCATCGCGAACGCTATAAGGCAGAGGCGTGGGAAATATAGTGTGGGAATATCACATCCATTTTTGACTGATTCCTTTGAAGACCTGCAACTTTCATTTGCATGATTGTATCTGAATCTCGTACAACTGCTTAAATCATGTCATGACTCGTGAAGCTGCAGCTGAAGCTTCGGTCGAGATTAATGACGAAACTATGGGCATTTGCGCAGCGCGTCGCAGTTCTTGACTCTGTCAGCGACAAATGCTTACCTAATTCCCTTGCTTCCCACTATAAGTCACCAATCCTCACGCGCTCACGTTAGTCTGGTCGAGGTCTTCTTTAACGATGCCAGCTGCCCATCGAGTCCCCGAGAGTAGCCCAGTTGCCGCATTCCTATCCGAATATGGTTCTGACACTGAGATATACGTTAGTCATCTGGACACCACTCCCGTGTCAGGCCGAAAGTAAGTCACAGAGTCTTGGAGCTCGAAGACGAGAAGACATTCCTTAACCAGCTTTCCATGGCAGGATACACTTCTTCACCATGATGGGGGCCAATATTGCATGGTCTTTTCTGCTTGGCAAACGCGTACATGGCGCCTTGTACCGCTATGGCATCCAATTTATCCTTGGGAAAATGTTACCAATGCCCAAGGTCTCCCCTCCGGTGGTGAACTGGCCACTAGCAGGTCAATTGTGCCTTGACATATTTTTGTTGGCCGTGTTACTTCCTTTAATCCAAAACTTCATCTCGGTCATCAAGCTGCGATACCATCATGGGTTCCCCAAATCTGAAATTGTCTTCCGAAAACCTACTCCAGCAACAGTCGCAAATATTGTCTCTGAGCCCCAGGACAAAAGGGATTCATATATGAATGATATTCTGCGTCGTGCTGTCGATCCAGAGGAATTCAAACATCCAACTTGGGGCATGCCTTGGGATGAGTGGACCATGGACTTCCGAGCGATGGCGGCTGCGTACGAGGCGGAGAAGAAGGGTATTATCTCTAGAGATGCGTGGGAGCTAAGCGTGTGGATGAAGATGAAGGAAGGCTGGACTGTAATCGAGCACGGGAAAGTCAGCAACCCGTTGAGCCAAGTTGGTATGATGGAAAAGCTTCAAGTTCGTAAAGTATCATTTTTTTTGTCGCACACGCTTACAACGATATCAGTACAAACTCACTGCCATGGGCAAGCGACACGTGTTTAGTCAGATGATGGAGGTGATTCAGGTCAAGACTGTTGCTAAAGACGGAACTGCCCTGCCTGTCACTCAGGAAGTGGACAACATCATTGCGGACATTTTTCGCCGCAATGAGGTGGATTTTGCGCAGTTGACAAGCGAACTGGCCTCAGAATCTCCCCGGTTCGTGGCCAACTCGTCTAAAAAGTCGAAGTAGACAGAACGGGTTAATATTTAGTATGTGAGTCCCTTGTATTCATTGAGCTAGCTGGGTGGTTTGAAATACCCGTGTAGATCACGGGTACATAATATTGGAATTACTATGCCAGTCGAGTGTCTTTGCGTATTACAGGACATCCATATCAGTCAAGTGGCGCTCTCTTGAGCACGTTGGTATCAAGTGACTTGGACCAGGTTATTCCCCATCACGATTAACGGCGTGGCAGTGAGAAGAAACATCCATTGTATTAGCGGATCAGGGACACGTCAAAACTAAACGCCCTTATCTTTTCGCCTTGGCGGGGGTGAGTTGCTTCACCTGTAATCGCTTATCAGCAACTAGAGCAAATAAAAGTCGAATTGTGGGAGAGAGCTTGCGAGGTTTTCCTTCGGACTTTTTCGGCTCTCATGAATCCCCTTCAAGCACCATCTGGTCGCAGCTTCAGTGAAGAAGCAGAGAAACATGTTCAAAGCATCGCCGTCGCGACACAGGATGTGGATACCGGTGCAGCGCTCGTTGCAGGTATGTCTGGTGACCTCGATCCGGACGAAGTAGCACGAGTTCGGTATGTTTTGCTCTAGTGGTTCCATTGCTCGACTTATTATCTGTGAAATATTTAGAAGGAAAATCGATTTTGGCATCTTACCGATGATGTGCAGTGAGTGGCTATTGTGTTCGACGTAATATGTATTTGATCTAGGCTCTGGCGTACAGCACTCTACTGGTGAGTTCTCGTTGGAGACCTGGAGAGTATTGACTGCATGGTTCCCTAGGATTCAGTTCATGGACAAGACAACCTTGGGTAGTGCCGCAATATTGGGCATACGGTGAGACTCATTTGCGATTTCCATTTTACTTACCTATTACTGAACGGTCTTGTCAGGCAAGATACGCACTTGTCTACTAATCAGTGAGACCATACGTTATTCACGTGTTATTCATCCTTACACCGTCGTCGCACAGGTACAATTGGTTTGTCTTCGCCCAGACTGGTAGTTGTTCCTCTTCGACTGAGCATTTGTGTTAGGCTGGGAACTGTATTCTACCTTAGCTATCTAATATTCGAGTACCCGCAGAATCTCGCGCTCCAGCGTTTCCCGGTGGGTAGATGGATGAGGTGTGTACCCCTTAGCGTCGTTCGAATGTCATCCACAAATGACTTGTTAACCAGTATCAATATTTTCATTTGGGGTATCGCGCTGGCCTGCCATGCAGCCTGCACCAACTTCGCTGGCCTCTTCGTCGCGCGGTTTGTCTTGGGCATGTGCGAGGGGTCCATTACAGCTGGCTTTATGATTGTCAGCTCGATGTTTTACACTCGCACTGAGCAGACATCACGTGTTGGGTATTGGTGTAAGCTTATCTCATGTTCAGAGGTCGGATCTGAACTGATCACGGTGGTAGTTCTCATGAATGGGACAGGTAGCCGTAGTTTCATCAGGTGTCTTCTCTGGATGAAAATTGAACTATGCGGTTCTCAGCGCAGATTATATCTGGGTTTATCAGTTTTGGTTCTTTGCATATCAACACTACAGGATTTGCGCCATGGCAATGGTAGGCACAGATCGACATGTCTTGATGCGAACAACACTAAATATCATGTATAGGCTTATGGTCATTACTGGCATTTTGACCTTAATCACCGCGGTTGTCTATTGGTGAGTTAATTGCAGATTCTTTCAATGTTCAAATCCTCACCCAGGATCAGGTTCTTCTTCCCTGACTCACCCACCAATGCATGGTTTTTGACGCCCGCGGAACGAGCAATTGCAGTCCGACGCTTGAAGGTAGATATCAAGATAATCCATATAGTTTCGCGACAACATGAACTCAATTACCGCTGCAGGAAAACCAGACCGGTGTAGAAAACAAACACTTCAAGAAAGATCAGTGCGTACGCCGTTCCCCGGCACGCATTAGCATTTAACGCCACTTTCGCAGGGTGATAGAGGCTTTGAAGGATCCGAAGACATGGATCTTTGCTGTCTTTTCTGCACTGGACCAGATTCCGAACTCGCTCAGCAATCAACGACAAATAATTGTGACATCACTCGGCTTCACCGCCCTGCAAACAACCTTGTTGAGCTGCGTGGATGGTTTCATTGAAGTTGCAACGATTTGGACTGGTGTCATGATTGTCTCTCGGATACCAAACAGTCGGGCTTATGTCGGCGCGGTGTACTTCATCCCGGCTTTGGTTGGGGTACTCATGATCGAGTTCCTGCCATGGAGCAATCAAATCGGCTTGCTTTTCGGTATTTGGCTTGTGGATATCGGGATTACTGGATTCGTCCTATCTCTGGCCTGGTTGACCAGCGTTACTGCTGGGCACACAAAGAGAGTAAGTCGTGGGCAATCGGTCAAAAATCAAGCAGCAGATAGCTGAGTAAACCAGGTGACCACAAATGCGATCATGCTGAGTGCCTACTGCGTTGGTAATGGCTTGGGCCCGTTCATGTGGCAGACGCAGTATAAGCCACGGTAAGTGTTGGTCCAGGTGTCGTCATCTCAATTCTAAATTTATTATCACAGCAACCGCATACCTTGGATTGTCATCGGGATGTGCTACGTTATTTGCCCCATCCTTCTACTCACCATCAGGTTCATCTTATCACGAGAGAACAAGAAGCGGGACGCTGAGCCTGTCAATAATGACTTCGAGGAGGTTTACATCGAACAAGTTACTGCAGATGGAAAACGGATTGAAGTCAAGGTGGACAAAGTACGTTCAAACTTGTCCCAAAGCATCGACTCTAATGCGGTCGTTGTATTGTACAGGAATTTTTAGACCTGACAGACATTCAAAATCGCGATTTCCGTTATGTTTTGTAGAAATACTTCTGTTTGTACATCTCAAGACAACATTAGCTGTGATGTGCACACCATCAACTGGTAACCTGAACCTTCCAATCTCAATTCTGGGTAGATCGAAGGGCCCAACGACTCTGGGATGTTCAGCGCTGACGCAATTTGTCGAGGGCGAGTAAGGTGAGTAGTGAGGCAGGGTGCCTGCACTGTGCAGTCTGCATGACTGAGGAAACAGGCCCGTGGCCAGCGATGGTATCATTCCATAATTTCTTATGGCGTCATTCCCCTTCTCATCCCGACTCTCAAGATAGCACAAACTCACTGTCATGGGCAAATGACACGTGTTTAGATGATGGAGGTTATTCAGGCCAAGACTGTCGCTAAAGACGGAACCGCCTTGCCTGTCACTGAGGAAGTGGACACCATCATTGCGCATTTTTCGCCGGAAGCGGATCTTGCGCAATTGACAGGTGAATTGGCCGCAGAATCCCCCTTGTGGCCAACTCTGGAAGGTCGTCACAGTAGACGATCAACACTAGCGGACAATCAGACAGCGGTAACGTGGATGAGCGTATGGGATTCGGTGATACGGTAAGAGATAAGATATCGATACATCAGCGGTGAGCTATATATACTGAATGAGCGTTAGCAGCCAAACACCGACAATTATGGCACGGTGTCCAATCAACGAAGGGCGCGTTAATCACATGAAAGTAAGCGCATGCTTACACCCTTCCCCACTATCCTTGAGAACGTCCCTTCTCCCAATTGTCCAGAGCCTCGCAGTCTTCCAAGTCCCTCCTCGGCAGCCACTCGTCATCTTCTTCGCCAAAGCCAACCCAACGTACGAGGTACTTCTTTCCCCTTCCGACCTTTCGTTCGTCGATGATTCTATCGATGAAGGTTTCTAGTTGTCCGTTCTCCGTCACCACGGGTCCACGTCGCGGATGTTCGCGTGTAGGGAAAAGAATGGGGGTCGTTCGCGTGGTACGGGCGCAATTGGCTGGCGTGGAAGGTTGGGAATATGTTTGGGGAGTTTGGTAAATCAAGTGTGTACGTTGAGCTTCCCAGGTGTGCGTCCAGAATGACGTATGGACCGTCGTATCTAGGCATGAACTTCGCAACTCTTTTGTCCCCCTTCTGCATATACTCCCGACG